GTATATCTAAGCAAGCAGTTGATGGCTGCTCAGTAATTACAATAATTACAGTTTTCTGTGCTTGTAAGTAGACTATCTGAATTAGTTAAAGATCAGGTATTTAAGAGATGCCCGGACAGTGTTAAAATAAAGCTGTGCCTACGTGCTCAATAATTACAATAATTAGTTTTCTGTGCTTGCAAGTAGACTGTCTGAAGTAGTTAAAGATCAGGTATTTAACAGATGCCTGGCCAGTGTTAAAATAAAGCTGTGCCTACAGGCTGAATGCTGTGACTAGTTCTTAGGAGCAGATCAAACTGCACATGCCAAACCCGGCATTAACATGACTTGTGCAGGTGGGGAAGGGATGCTTACCTCCATTTTCACTGGTGGTGCTTTAGATACCAACTGGCTGCAAACGCATCAGATGAGCATAAAAGGACGTTGGAGGACTGGCTATAGCGTGTTGTGGAGAGCTCGGCTTCTCATCTACAGAGCTGTAGAGGTAAGTCACACCTCTCCGTTCATTAACTAGTTGTTTTGGGATGTAATGTAAGATCAAGTTGCCTTTTTGTAGCTCTGTTCCTTTACCCTCATTGTGTGCCATTTCTAGCATGGGGACAAAACCCACGACTTGTTCCTTCCTCCTTTGCCTCTTCTGTAAACAGGTTCTGGCCTTATTGTTTCGAAAACTCTTAAGCATGAGTGTGATGTCAGAAGCTGTATCCCTTGCTTCCCTGGGTTTGTCCCTGCTTGCACAGAAAAAGCTCCAATTTCTCCATAAAATACCGTATCACGTTGTAGCTGGGATAGGCAGGTACTAAAGTCATCTCAAGCATGAGTAGGATTAGCCAGTGATAGACTGGAAACATCAGCTGCTGCTAAAATGGTGTTTTTTCTCTTTGGCAGAAGCTTTGTTAGTTGAGGTAGCAGCATCTTGCTTCTCATGGGCAGCCACCCCACTCTGAGTAAAATGAATTGTCTGTATTCCCACTTAGCATGTGCTCTGGCATCCGGGATTAGTACCAAAGAGCTACTAGTACATCCTGGTTCTGAGCACAGCACGAAAAGTTCTGAGCAGGACTTCTGACAAGATGAGGAGAAAGCAGGTAACACCGAACAGCCTTCCAAGTGAGAGCAAACAGAGCGCTTTCCACCTTAGTATGTGCTGCCTCTGTGGAAACGCCTCAGAGAGGCTGCATCTGAAACATCTACCTCCTAAAAAAACCCAACCCCCAAACTCTGCTTTATAAAATAACCCAAGAAAACTTCTTAGATTAGCTCATTAATATGAAATAGAATTGTTGATGTAGCTGGTCACAGTCCCTACTAACATGCGTTCCATGCTTCAGCGCCTCTAGGGGACTCTTGCAAAAACACCGGCTTTGGAGCACGAGGGTTGCGGTGCCAGACCAGACCAGGCACAGCAGAGGAAAAAGGAGGAAGTACCGCGGAAAGACCGGAGAATACGCGCAAGGTGAAGTCCTTTTCCGCAGGATCCAGTGCTGACCATCATCTCTCCAAGCGAGAGGTGCAGAAGAGGCAGAGCCTGGCAAGGGAACACTGGGTGCCTGCAGCGGGGTGCGCGCGCTGCCAACAGGTCAAGACGGCAAAAGCGTTTTGAACTGAAACGGTCTCTCCTGCTTCAGTGTGCTGCCAGGCCCGCCACTCCTCGATGAGTGGGGACAAAGAAAGGGGGGGTGATTTGTGTCCCTGGCCTGAGAAAGCGGAGTTCCTCACTCAGCAACACAGCGTGCTCCTTAAGGACAGCGTGTCAGACACCCCTCAGCCCAAGGCATGTTCCCGTGAAGGCAGTTTAATCTACGTTAGAGTGTTCAAGTGAAGGAAAGAACTTGGTTTTATTTACCCGTCACAGGGGCAGGCACGCATTCTCGGGTGTAACAAACTGGTGGTTCTCTCCTGCAGATGGCTGAGCAAAATACAAGTTACGCTAGTATTTGAAGCATTTGGAAATGAAGATCTTCTGACCAACACAGCAGAAAACCAGGATGCATCCAGAGGTAAAGCTGGTTCCTCAGGGTACGGCTGTACCTACTGTTTCTAGTACAGCTGTAAGAATGACCTAGCCCCACACGGCTTCCACTAAGGCCACCTCAAGGAACCTGTACACACGCACACACACGCACCACAGGGTCCAGTTCGGTCTGCTGCCATTTCAAAGCACTTTCCATACCAATGGATTTACCAGACATACTTGATGTATTTAAGCACTAATAAAGGAATTCCTAGCACTATACGGGGTTTTGTTTTGAAGGGACTAAAACCAGAACTGCGTTTTTTTAATATATAGGCTCATTTTCAGAGGCTTTTCAGGCGAGGCTGCAGCCTTGAAAATGACAGCCTTGCCAAGATCAATGCTTTTGGAAGATCCTGGTTTTAAGATCCTAGTGGATTATTCCTGAAGCATTCACTTGATCCTGTTCTATCTGTTCAGGTGCTTACTGCATTTCTGCCTAGGATCAACCATCCCACAGGTGGGTTTGCTCTGGTACATTTCAGAGTTAGAGGTAAAATACTAATTACAGGTTTGATGGCTGCTAAGATGTGGAAGCTAGAGATGCACATCTTTCTATTGTATTCCTCATGCCCCCTTCTTATATGTATGCTGAGAACTGACCTCACCTCATGTCCAGCCTGAGTTAGAAAAAATTCCAAATGAAAGAACAGACTCGACTTACTACCTTCTTCCCCTCAGAGCTGTTTACAAAAGAAATGTCCTTTCTTGAGATCTAAACACTTAACATACGTTGTTTTGACAACTACACACCCACATTCATGAACGTTATGACATGACAAGGCTGAGCGACAGTGACATAGCAACATAGGCATTTAACGGCCAAGTCCTCCTGTACAGCTACTGCTGTTGACGGCGGTCCTTTCATCCGATGCTGCACCTCGTAACGGGACAGCTTCCGGTGCTCCTAGCCAGAGTTCTGCAAGCTGCTACAGCACCCTACGGAGTACAGGACATGGGTATTGGGCTTCAGCTCCCAGGGTAGAAGAGATGCAGGTAACGGACAATGCGTCTCATCTCTGGCAGTTCAGCCAAGCGCAGCTGCAGAACTTGGTGCTGGATTTGAAACAGAAGGTAGACGCAGCACTGACTGATGATAAAGTGCAGAAGGAGAGAGTTCCCCTACATGTCAGTCTTTATTGCACTCTGCCTCAAGCCAACAGTGATCAGAAAGCAGACCCCATTAACGCTGTGTCCTTTCCTTCATCCACCTGGAACGGGGACAGCCCGACGTAAGCGAGGCGTGCTATGGCACTGCACCTATTGAACACACAATGCAGAAGAGTTACGGAAGTAACACATACAAGAATTCCTAAACACACCTTCACAGACAAGGTGTTGGCTCTTTCCACTCCAGATCGCCCTTGAGCGGGCAGGTTGCACAGGCAGTAGCTTTTTGAACATTTGGCTGGAGGGAGAGGGAAGGCTGTAGTACAACCTAGCTCCTGTTTAGAGGTACGCCTTGCCTTTTTCCTCCTTAGCACAATAAGGTAGGTTCCATAAACCAGATTTTTAATAACCTGAATTCATTCACAGTGCAAACTTCCTGAACTGATGGATGTATTAAACAAAAAGCTTATCCTTTATTAAATTTATCCAAAAATCTATACAAGCTCATACAAAAATAAATTCTAGTACCTCGGGCTATTTAAAACAAAAATCCAGACCCCTAGTTTTGGTACCTTTTTCTTCTGGACGAGCCGAGCAGATCCGGAGCCAGCCTTTTCAGCTGGCCTCTACAGCAGGCAGGTTTCCAGTAACGTGGACGACAAAACACCTCAGCAAGTGAACGCCCGTAAACTTCACAGAACTGTGGAAACAAAGGCACGGACGTTCAGTGCCAGAGGCTGCTGTGCCTTGGGGTAACACAAGCAAACTCAGCCCCTGGCTGTATTAAATTACATCTCACGTTAAGCACTTCAGCTACGGAATCACGCAGTTTCAGTTTGTGACAGTTAACACAGCTGCAGAGGAAATGGCCAAGTGCACCAGCATGCAGCACAGACCGCTGCCCCTCCCGGAGACAGGCCAGAGGAGAAGCAGCCACTTCTCAGGCAGTTTTCCTTTCAGGTGATTTCCAACAGGGCAACAGAGAAAAGCTTTACCTGACCAGGAATAGCTGAGGAAAGCATCCCTGAGTTTTCTCCTTTACAAAATTCTGGATCTCCAGTACATTCTTTAACAACAAGGCCTTGGAAGCTCGGTCAATTTTTGTTAACACCATCTGCATGGATCCAGAAAGGGAGGATTAAAAGAGAAAGAGAAGGTTATTTTGCTGCTAGCCTGGAACTTCCGTACGAGTCCTGGACTGTCTTGCAGGGCAGGCTGAAAGCTCTGGGTCTTATCTTGTGGGAAAAATGGCATAATGCAGTTCAAACACTTCCCTAGCCTGCGTAAGGAGGGGATCCTTTCAACCTCCTCAAGCTGAGCACTGAAAAAAAGTGTCCATTTAATAAATCAGGCAAAAAAATCTGCTAAACCCCACTTGCCTCCCATCAACACAGTAGGCCTATTTCATTGACGATAAAGGGGTGGGAGGGTTATTACTTGGGTAGGACAACTTGCACAAGCTTGTCAAGGTACACACCTTGACAGACTCTGTAGCTTATAAGCCACACAAGGTTTTTATGCTGCTTCTGCCTGTTGAAGAAGAAAGTGTTACGCACCACATAAGGAATCCCAAACTCTTCCAGCATCTCTACTGCAATATGATCCGCTTTCTGGAGTCCTACTAAACCATCAACTAACAGAAAAGTCCTCTTCAAGCTGCCAGAAATACAAGCAACAGTAATCACCACCATTATTTCATGCCTGCTCTGCTACTTCCAAGTTCGTAAGAACAAGTGACACGGGATGTGGGGATAGGAAGAGCCAAGAAGAGTCATGCGTGGGAGCGGAGGGGCAGTATGGAGCAGCACCTCAATCTTTTCTGCTGTTCTGATCTGTCTGAGCATGATGGCACAGAGGTTCCTAGGGAAATGACGCCAGAACTAGTCAATACTACCACTGGAAGCAGCTACCTCTCCTGCATTTTTCCCCCTAATTACATGACACTGTATAGGAGCATCTGGCTTTCACTGCTCTGTAAGGGTACAGCCATGGCTCTTACTTGCACCGTTCCTGCAGGTAGGCCTCCACCATCTCCACAAAGTCTTGCGGGGCACGGTAGCCGTATCCTGGCATATCCACCAAAGTAAAGTACTTCCCTACTTTGAAGAAATTCATCTTCTTGGTGTGGCCCTGGGGAGAGGATTTAAGCAAAGAAACAGAGTAAGATGAAGGAAGGGAGTGGTTTAAAAAGTTGCTTTAAGCAGTGGCCTAGGAGATGCCCTACAGAACATCTCTGTAACCATACCCTGCTACCCCAGAGAAGGCTGCAAAAATGCTGCTGTCAAAGCCACCTAGTCTCCTACCCATGTGGCTCGATGATCCTTAAAACACCTCTGTGGGTGCCTGTGCTCGGTTCTTCCCGAAAGGCGTAACGTCTGCTCAGCTGGTGTGACTCTTCTGTCAGGCACACATGCCAGCCCTGGCCAAAAGGCTAAGCTGGGCTCTTCCCACCTTCTCCTCTGCTAGAGCCAGAGCTGGCGGCCACCCAGCTGGCACCCTCACCTGCCCCCTCGA